GTTTTGTCAGAAGCCCGGGGTCTTTTGGAGTGTAATTTTTTCATAGTTAGATGCCTGGCTGACAACTGTATAAAACAAAAAGTACACACAATATTCGAAGCACATAGTGCACACTGTGGGAATTTACGACTGTGCGTGAATCCCCCCTGATATTGGTATGATCCGAGCTCAGGCACTAAGCGACTGAGCGAGGGGGCGGGGCAGCTGCTGCCTGTGAGTGCGCTGTTGGAGAAACGGAGCCAGCCATACTAAGGAGAGCTTAAGTTTGACCAGGTACCAAAGCAAATCATTCGTACTGTACAAATAATGTAAATATGACGGTGCATCACGAAAGATTGATATCAAACTGATCACTTGACCAATATTACGTTACTTGCTCTTCAAGTGAATCAACAAATGGCGAAATGAAAAGCCGAACAAATGCTATTTTTTTAGAGAGTCTTAGCTTACGTGTGTTTATTTCATATTTTCAGTTCTTACCCTCCCCGACTAAATCGGTTTCAGTTATGTACTGAAATATAAGAATGGACATTAGAGGGTTCTTTCAAAGAAAAAACTCAGGTAAATGTTATTTTATATATTATGCTTTGTATGTTGTTCAGTATATTTCTATGCAAAACAAGAGGGATTTCAGTACACAGCAGGATATTCACATTTGTAACCAGATATTTACATACACTTTAGGGAGAAAACATAAAACATTTTTACTGTACAACATCAATTTAGAGTAAACTTTTGTTTTAGATAAATATTGAAATATATTTTGAATTAGTTAAATGTCAGAATAAAGAGAGACAGAGCTTCTATTTTTATCACTTTCATCAAATTTAGGAGTACATATACACTAAGTTTATTGTTAATTAATAAGAAACTCCAGACGATTCCATGTCACGGTCCTGGGTCTTATGACCCAGTGTTTTGAGTTTCAGTTCTTTTGATGCTGTTAGTGTATGTTCTAGCTTATTATGTTTCCTATGTGCATCTGTTTATCAGTTCCCCCTTGTATTGTCATACCCTGTGAAGTCTCCCTTGCCCTTCGCTTCGTGTGTTTCTTATCTATGTGTCTTATGTTGTCAGGTCTGCGTTTCATTAGATTTCCTGTTTTATTTTGAAGGGTTCCTGTGTCCCTAGGTTCAATGTTGTTAATGTTACGCTCCCCTTGTCACGTCGTTATGTTCATGTGTGTCAGCTGTTTCCCCATGTGTTCCCACTTTCCTCATTATCCTCCTGTGTGTATTTAGTCCGCGTGCTTTCAGTCATTCCTGGTCAGGTCGTCTGCTCATCCATGTCTCATCTCCAGGTATCTCTGTCAGTTCACTATGCTTAAGGTTTTTCATGTTTAGTTTTAGTTCACCCAGTTTAGGTTAGTGTTCACCAATGCCCTATTATTTGTACCCTCATTGCTAGCCTCAATAAACGGCTTGTTTTTGTTAATCCACGCCACGTTTTGGTCTGCGTTTGAGTCCTCTTTTGCAACACATACAGTCTGCCCCAGCCAGACCGTGACAGTACGACCTGACCATACTATGGACTCAGCAGACCGCGAGCTCTATGAGCGTCGGGAGGCAGCCTTCGCCCAACTGGAGGAAGAGCTCCGTACCCGGGCTTAAGCCCAGTAAGCCACCCCCACGCTCCGCCCCTGCTGTACAAACTCTGTTTTTGGCCTAAGTACTGCTTTTCTATTCAGTTTTGCAAGTTTTAATAAATCGCTGCCCTTATTTGCCATTTTTCTAGCAAAACACAAAGAAAGGTGGACCTTTATGCAGTACTGTGATTTGGTGCAAGCTTGAAGGAAGAAGGTGCTGTGTGAATGTATATAAAGTTTTAAAGAGGACATAGAACTGGGCGTTTTTTCTCTCTCTGGCTACACGGTTTTATTTCAGGTTGTTTCGTTTAATATTCTCCTCACTGACGTCTGTTTCCTCCACCGCGATGAGAATTACAAACATGTTTTATTCACATTTTTTAAGTATTGACACAAATGAATCAGTGATGCTGTTTTCTTTTCTAAACATCAATAATTAAAGTATGTTTCCGTCGATGAAACTTTGCTGTTGATGAAATGTTGCTTTTTGGTGAGAAAACAGCTTATTTAATATGGCATGACAAGAATTTCAAAATGGAGTGAAAGAGAATAAAAGTGTCCCTTTTTAATTGAAGTCAAGCTTCTTGCACATCACACGTGTAACACAGCAGCAGCTCGTGATCCACGAGAAGACCAAGAGACGTTTTACAACTGTAATCAGACGGTGCCTGTGGTTTTTGCGAGTGCATTAACATTTTTTTTTCTATAATTCTCTCACTTCCAGTCGAGACAGACACGGGTAACGGCACCTTTTGATGGTGAAAGTTGAAAAATGAGGTGTGGATTCTGAGATTTATACCGAGTGCAGCATTAAATATTGAAGTTGCCTGCTCAACACGGCCCAGAGTAGAACTTATCAGTGCTGGAACATTTTCTTTCAAGAAATTCTTGAAAGAGTTTGCCTTAGATGGAGCAGAAACATTGAGCTTTGAAAGGATTGTTTGGTTGAGTGCCTCAGATTATGACTGCAATTCAACCACCTCCTCTGCTGCATTCTGAAGTTGGTCATAACCAATAGTGAGGCACAAAGTTAGAGTTCTCTGTAGCGTGCTGACACAGTGGATGAGTGCAGTCCCCATTGCATTCAGCTGGTTGGGGAGCACGCTCCACTTGTTACACCCTCCACCCTCGCCCCTCTGACTTTCTTGCTCCTGTTTTCTGCACAGACTCCACAGAGAACATCATGCTTGAGGTCAGTCCTCAGAAAGAGCTTAAAGAGGGAGACAACTTGACTTTGAAGTGTGTGGCAGATGGTAACCCAGCTCCTACCAACTTTAACTTTCACCTTAAGGTATCTCATTAAAAGCTTTGAAATTCCTTCTGTTCATCCAAACTAGTGCTTACTTCATCTAAAATGTATTTATTCAGTCTTTTATCCTCAGCAACGTAAATGAAATGCTGCTGTTTTCACTGTTTTTTGCAGGGGGAGCTGGTGACCGTGGAAAACACAGATACCTACACCATCGCGAATGTCTCACGCGACGCCACCGGTGAATACAAATGCTCCCTAACTGATGACACATCCATGGAAGCGACCAGGAACATCACCGTCACCTGTAAGAAGACAAAAATAATAATTTCTCTAGAAGTAGAAATTACTGCAATTTTACCCCACACATCTGCATCTGTATCCAAATAATTTTCTTTTCTCCCTGCAGTCTTATTTGTTATGAAAGTCCTAATATCTCTCTTTGCAAGACTGTCTTCTTCTGATCTGGGGAGAAATTGTTGTGTCAGCTGCACTGCTTCTAATAAGCTGCATCTGCAGGGCTGTGAGCCAAGTGCAGAGTTATATGGTTAACAACAGAAATGTTTTGACCCTTAACAGGCCTCTGAACCATCTTTCTGCCATCCTCTCCTCTTTTCAGACTTAGACATCAATTTAAGCCCCTCTGGGAATATTGTCAAGCGCGCTGGCGAAGCCTTGAATCTGAGTCTTCAGATTGATTCTTCCGGAAAGGCAGAGGTCTCCTGGACAAAGGTAGAAGCGATCTTTTATATAACAAAGCTCCAATCATTGGGGTTTGTGCTTGTTATTGACAGCGCCGATATTCTCTTGGATTTATTTCAGAATAATGCTAAACTGGGCAAACAGCCCAACTTTACCAAGCTCGGTTACTCGGACTCTGGTCGCTATGAGTGGACGGTGACAGTTGGACACATCACCCGGACAGCTTCTTTTGATCTTACTGTCGAAGGTAAGGGTTTGAAGAAAAGTCTTACGCAGGGAGAGAAAACTGGTACCACTCTGTCTCATATTTGAAGTTAGTTAAGGTATGCAGCCAACAGGCAGTTTGTGAAGTTTAAGAATGGATGGAACAGCCTGACTTTGTCTAAGGGTAAAAACTATCAGCTTAAAGCTAACGCATTAATTAAATATGCGTTGTTGTTTTTTATTTCATATAAAAATCAGTGGTTAAAAAAGTTATTTTAACAGTTTAATCAGACTCCAGATGGTTACTCGCAGCTACATCTTGTTTTTACACTTTATTTTCTGTACAAATTTTGAAAAATAAACAAGACAGAGCATGCTAATTGCTGATTTTTGGAGGCACTAGTGGGATTATTTTCCTTTGGACTGGCTCGCTGATTTTCTTTACTTCTAGTTTTCAGCCAAATGGCTAATGACTCTAGACTCATAGGGACATGAGAGTGGTATTCATCTGCTCATCTAACTCTTGGCAGGACAGCGAATATAAAATGATTTCTCTAAGAAATTCCTTTCCTCAGTCATATTTAGATGTGCCGGTGGATCGGATTAAACCACGATAAATCGAGCTTTATAACACACGTGTTCCCTTACAGGTCCTGCAGTTGTAAAGAGCCTGTTCAAAAATCGCAGTAATGACGGCCAACATAAAGTCTTGACTTGTGAGGCTGAAGGCTCTCCAAAGCCAGCTGTTTCCTGGAGCATTAATGGCACCGTGGTATGTACCCTTTACGTGCTTGGAAGTTTACCTATTATCAGAATTGCAGGAAATTTATCCTTGGATAATTGTTGCAGTTTCTGAAGGTCATATCCATTAATTCTTCCTAACAGTACATAAAAGATTTGTTTTATGTGTTCGCTCCTCCTGTGCTGGCTAGGGATGGTATTGATAAGATTTTCACGATTCCAATTCCATTTTCGATTCTGTTTAACAATTCGATTCTTTATCGATTCTTTTTAAAAAAGGAGAACACTAAGGTCGATTAGCTTAGAACTTTGTTTTATATCTTCTCTTTGAACAAGATAGAAATTTAGGAGTAACATGGCCTTACAAACCCAGCAGTGAGATCTTAAGAGATCCACAGCCAATGGGGTGTCACAGGGTCCCCAGGAAAAAAAATTGTAAATGTAAAATGATAAAATAAATATTCTTCTGTAGCAATAACAAAGTATAACATAAATTATTCTGTAGCAATTACACAAGAATATCTAGTAATGTCCCTGCCTGCAATTAAACACATTCACTTACCGAAAATCGTGGGCATCTGCTGTGGCAAATGGGTGCAAGCCTTTTACCACAAACTTAGTCACTGCTCGGTGACATTCGTCTATCCTGGCCTGAAAGGAGACGCTACCGGTAGACTGCAGCGAGAACTGCCAGCATCTGAGCCAGACTCTGTCTGTCTCATCATGGTCACCTAAATGCACAGTAATGGCAGGTTTTGTAATAAGGCAGATCGTGCTAGCATAATATGCACTGTTAGTTGATTATTTACCTGCCGCATTAACGGGAGAGGACGTGCAAACGTTACCGCTGCTGCTGGGTTGGGATTCACGAGTCCGGAGCGGAATTAAAAACACGACATTCATTTAAGGTCGTGTGTTTTGTGAGCAAATGCTTTTGCATATTCGTAGTGTTTCCTCCCTTAAATGAAATATCTACTTTGCAAGTACTGCAAGTTGCCAAACTTTTGAGCGTTTGCAACCCGTTCTCACTCCCAAAGCGTAACATTTTGGAGTGAGAACGCTCTGCCGTTTGAGCCGCTTAGGCGCCCTGCCAGGTAAATGACGCTCCGCAACGTGGTGACGTCATTCGGGGGCGACTGGAATCGATAAGGGAATCGTTTGGCAAACACTTCCAACCGGTTTTCGATACCCATCCCTAGTGCCGGCACAAAAGAAAATCCTCAGAAAAAAAACTGTGTCAGACTTAAAGAGCCATGAAAGGAAAAATACTGTATTACCGGTATTAGAAAACGTGCATTAGCGCCACGCTTACAGTTGTGTGAAGTCTTCAGTTTATTGTCCCATCAGAACAAACTACAAGTGTTTTTTTCCCCAAGATAAACGCAGGCAGTTATTGCTTCTGTTATGGCGAAGATTGCTCTGTGGATGGTGATGACATACATCTCAGAGGCTTCACAAGATTCTGTGAACTTGAACACAGCTAAAAGCAGGTCCTTCGGGATCAATGTATACCGTTAACAAAATCAAATCTTGTGAAATGGTGAAAATATCAATGTACCTTCTGGTACTCAAGGTAAACTTGTTTATGGAATCTACACCAGGGTCGTGAGCGAGATGTGTTTGTTTTTACACAGTGCGAGCGTAGCTGCTGTCAGCACATTGCAAATTCAGGGCTTCTTTTTAGTAGAAAACCAAACATTTTGCTTGTTGGGTGGCTACAAGTCATTCTTGAGAGTGTTCTTGACTTGGTTATGAAGTTGAGAAAGCTTTTTTTAAACAAGGAAAGACTTTGCATTCATCCACTTTAGTGAGCTTCTGAGAAGGAATCTATGATTCCTTCTTGTTTTAAGAATGTAGCCGACTGTTGAGTTTGCCACTTGTAAAGTTTTGGCTATCGCTCTGATAGGTATGTTTTGGGGGTTTTTTTTTTTTTCATCTCTTTGGACCGCATTTAGAGACTGCCAGGGGAAACTTAGGAAATGCAACACTTGGAATCATCCCCAGATCTTTCGTCTGCTTAATTTTTCATGGAATAACAAGGGAATGGGTCTCATTTGGCTGTGAAACTGCTCATCGTTCAATTGTCCAATTACTTTTGAGTCTAAAAGTGGGTGCCTATCGGAATCATATCCATGGTGAACTCCACCACAAATAATAAAACTACCATATAAGAAAAGCTAATTTAAATGCCTGTACAGACTATTCCCCCAAAAACATCAACTTGTTTTGTTTGTTTAATTTATCATGAGATTATAATTTTAATACTGAAATCACTCAAGTGGATGAGTTCTTATATAGCACTTTTCTATTAAGTGCTTTTCTATTAAACATTCACATGGATGGATGCATCAGAGAGCAACTTGGGGTTAGTATTTTGCCCAAGGATACTTGGCCAGGGCCAGCCAGGGATCGAACCGCCAACCTTCCAATTAGTAGATAACCACAGTAATAACAGCAGTGAAGATTACTATTGTATCTGTACCTGTATATGAAACTGTGACGTCTAATTTCAGTCACAGGACAACAGAATTCATCATCATTGTCATCCAGGGTAGTTGGAAACCAGTCATGACAAGGCGATTTCTCAGTGGCACTTACGGAAAAAGTTTCCCCCCATGTGCTTGTTAACGCGCCTGTTTTCAGTCGCAGTTGGGTGTAGCAATTTATTTGTTAAAATAACAAGATGGGTATCGGCTTTAACAAATGACCTCCACACCCCGCCCTCCTCCACCTCGAGACACTCTTGAGACTGCAGTGAGGTTTTCAAGCCATATAAAATCATTCAGAATGCTTTGAGTGTTTCTGTCCCATTTTCCCTTGAAAGCATTACTCCTTTGTTGGTGAATCAATACTGGTTGTCATAGAAATTCATCCTCACAGTGGTCCTCCTATATAAGATGGCAACAGGTTTGTGCTGCAGTAACTATTTCATTGACGTCTTTAGATTACAACGTCTGAATGTCCTCTACAAAGTAGCCAATAGATGGTTTATAAGGAGAATTTAGGTCCACTTTCGGCTTCATTAAGAGCCTGATAGGGAGCAGATGGTTGTGAATATGGAATAAAAACATTAATAGAGTTGCATGGGTTTAAAACATAGTGGCATTTGTCTTACAGCGAACCTCAGTGTATCATCAGCAGAAATGTGAAGGTGTGGCTAAACAGAGGCTGTGTGCTTAAGCCTCCTACTATTGTCTTTGTCCAGAGACAGCTCTTGCTTTTCTTTACTTTTTCCCTTTTTGCTGCACAGTGAATGAATACCCCCTGTTTTGTGCATGGCAGTTTGCACTGTTAGTATTTTCCCCAGCTGTCACACTTGTGAACTTATCTGGTCCAGGCTGTTGTGGTCAGTGTTTCGAAAGAGTACATTTCTTCATTTTCCCCGAGGCTCAAACAGTATTTTCCAGCAGCCTGTCACGAGAACAAAAATTGTCTGTTTTTTAAATGGAGCCTCTTTTTTTCTTCTTCTTTTGTTTCCACAGTCTACCTGTGTGCGCACTGATAGCAGAGTCACTCAGTGAAGCGGTGTGAATTACACATAAACCTGGGGGTGTGCGCAGGATGGTTGCAGTTCTCCTCAGCCCTTTCAGTCATTGTCTAACCACGAGAGGAACCTTAAAATCTTTAATTTACTCCAAAAAAAATACACAGAACTCTGTCAGGAAATAAAAATGCATTTTGAAAGTAACACATTTCAGCAATTTAATCCCACCGCCCCCCATTCAGAAAAATGTGAAGACTTGAATACGGGATCAGTAATAAGTATTTACAAGAATGCAACATCCTTTTGTATATGCGGAGGATGTGCAAAGGGTGTTGGCAGTTTGTCTTTGTGTCTGGGGTTTTCCTCTGAGACTCAGGAGTCTATATCCCAGAGGCACACACGCTGTTTCTTTGTCATGCAAGGACTGACTCACTTACTGGTCCAACATCGCCCCCTCATGGTGCAAATCTTCTTCAAATCATCCGGATCAGATGTGCAACTATTAACATTTGTTTCTTCTCTCTCTCTCTCTCGTTACTCAGCTTGGTGAAAGTCCTTTCGTCAATGGAAAGATTACACACAAGATCAAAGTTGTGCCCTCTGCAAATCTAACTGTCCACTGTACAGTGACCAATAGGCTTGGCAATGATTCCAGAGCTATAAATGTGTCCTCTTGTAAGTACAAAGTCATAATTTGGTCCTTTTACCTCTATCGGCTTCATTTTTCTTTCATGAAGTCACTAATCTGCCTTCCTAAGTGTTTTCCTACTGTTCTTACTAACTCTTTCCATCTGCATGTTAACTTGGCATCATGTTTACATGCTTTGACAAAACGACAATATTGTAGCAGGTATGTACACCAGGGTAAATCCACCCAGTTTGGGATAGTCTGTAGCGTGTGTGGAGTCACGTCGTTGCACACCAATTTGGTGGCCATAAGGGCAATTATTTAAAATCAGTTGTTATTTTAGGATTTATAGTCCACTGATGAGTAAGCAGGAAAAAAACACTGTTAAATACACAATGTATCAAACATACACAAACACTAGTACGTCTTTCAAGAACTTTATGTATTGGTGGTAGTTGTCTATTAAAGTCCAGCCTTTTTACTCTCACCATCACTGTCAAACTGTAATTAGTGCATGCACTTAGCACTTAGTCCACACTCTTGTCTGACGGTTTCCAAGTGTGTTTATATCACCATTTGTTCTCTCTTGCCTCCTCATTCCTGTGTGTTTGGGATGGCATTTCCACATCGTTCTTTTCTCTCCCCCCCCCTCGCTCAGTGGGTGTATGTTGGGATGCTGGATTTAATCTGTTCCCTCTTGGAACCTCTTGCATGCAAAGTCGAGTAGATGTAGAGTAGTCATTTTTCAAGCTTGCTTTTTTGTTTTGTTTTTTTCCCCCCCCCCTTCATTTCGGTTGGACGTTAATGTTATTTCATATCTGATTTCAGTAATTGAGGAGGTGAGAATGGATAAACAAGGTAAGTTGGCGCGGTCTTCCTTCTTGTAAAGAAACAGTAGAAAGTGGGTTGACAAAAGTCTATGGGGGAATCGAATGTTGCTCACTAAAAGACGGCTCTTTATCAAATATTTATCTTTAGTGTCACCTTGGACTGTAGAGCAGAAAAAACAATGTTTAGACAGTGCGCTTCTTTTAAATAAATATAGTTGTGAAGCAGTAGGAGGAATGGAGCTACCAGCATCCTGACAAGATGCCAACATTGTTCATAGTCCCATTGACGAGATTAAAGTGGGGACTGCTCCCATTAACATTCAAATCAATGAGTCATAATCATGCACAGTGCGGATGTGTCCATTCATCAATGCATTTAATGCACACCAGAGTATTTTTTTTTTCTGTCCAGACTGGAGCAGCATACAGAAACATGACACTCACGCCTCTGATATTTCTGTTTTGTCTTTCTCTACAGATCAGTCGGAAGACAGCGACCAAACCAGATTGGTGGTTGGTGTTATAGTGGGTCTCCTCATCGCCACTTTGGTTATAGGACTGGCATACTGGGTTTACTCAAAGAAATCCAAGTAAGAAGCACATTTAAACAAATGCTGCTACATAAAAGTGTTCATAAAATTCACCAGTAACCCAACAAGATAAAATGAACATGAGATTACTATATTCATGCATCGTGGTTATTCTGATTTGCTAAAACGTCCTTTTCTATTTCCAGTTAAACATATTTTATTTAGTTTCAAAAACATTGCATACCTGCACTTTACATGCAGGTATATGTAGTATTCATGTAGCAGAAAGTAATTATGCGCATAACGACTTGTTAGGTACACCTTAATAGTACTGGACGCCCTCCTTTGCCTTCAGAACTGCCTTAATTCTTAACAGGAAACATTCCTCTGAGATTTTAGTCCATATCGACATGACAGCACCATGTAGGTTCTGCCAAGGTGTGCCAGGAAAAATATCTCCCACGTCATTAACCCTCCACCAGCAGCCTGAGCCATTGATACAGGGCAGGATGAATCCATGCTCTGGTGTTATTTATGCCAAATTCAGACCGTAACCATCTGAACGGCGCAGCAGGAATTGAGACTCATCAGAGGAGGAAACATTTTTTCCAATCATCGGGTTGTTGTTTTCCAATTTTGGTGAGAGTTTACAAACTATAGCCTCAGGTTCCTGATCTTAGCTGACAGGAATGGCATCCAGCGTGGTCTCCTGCTGCTGTTGCCCATCTGCTTCTACATTAGGCATTTTGTTAATTGAGAGATGCGCTCCTGCATGCCTTGGTTGTAAGAACTGGTTATTTGAGTTACTGTTGTCTTCTTATCAGCTCGAAGTAGCCTGACCGTTTTCCTCTGACCTCTGGCATCACCAGGACGTTTTTGCTCAAAGAACTGCACATAACTTTTTTTTTTTTTTTTTTTTCAAATTTGGGAAAACCTTAGCAGATCAGCAGTTTGTGAAATCAGACCATCTGGCATCAACAACCGAGCCACGCGCAAAGTCACTTTTAAATCACCTTCCCTATTCTGATGCCCGGTTTGGACTTCAGCAGCCATGTCTACATGCCTAAATACATAGACTTGCTGCCATGTGATTGGTTGATTAAATATTTGTATTAACAAGAAACTGAACAGGCATACCTAATGTAGCTTCTGATATGATCTCCTCTTGCCAACAACATGTATAATTCAAAAAGCAGTTCTCTACTGCTGGAATAACACTGTTTGGCATGAGGTTTTTAGTTTATAAACAAATGGATATTTGATTAAATGCTCTGTTTTAAAATATGAGATACGGACCATATGAGGATACTAAAATAAAAGCAATTAACTCAAAATTTTATTTTCATCCAAGACCAGTTAATAGAAGCAGTAATTTATTCAGCTGTTGATGTACTTGAGTAAATTTTCCAATTAGCCATAGTTGAGAGTTACAAGAAAACTGATGTCGCTCTCAGATCTGTGCAGTAAATATAAAGTTGGACTTAACATTAACACTCAAAGAGACGGAAACAAGAGGCTAATGTGGAAATTTAGTTTACAAGCCAGACGAGGTTTGAGACTATTGAGTCACCGGAGCGTTGTCGGCTTTCACGCACCAGGCGCCTCAGCACTCAGCGACCGCACTGAGTAGCTGTGGTTTCTAAATGCTTCCACTTTGCAATAATAACACTTGCAGATGATTGTGGAATATCCAGGAGGAAGAGATTTCACAACGTTGGTGCAACTTGTGTTATACTATCACATAAGCACACTAAACTTCAGTGAGATCTTTATAACAAGCTCCTTGAATTCCTTTACAAATATTTATAAAGACATATTGGACAGGTGCTCTGTTTCATATACATGTAGAACATAAACACTTGAGCTAAACGATTAGGAGATGTGGTCGAGTATTTTTGTACAACTAGAGTTTGGACTCAGACAGACTCGCCGTTTCACTATTCATCCTATTCTAACCTTGTATACGGGTAGTATTGATCTTCTAATCTTACTTTTGGCAGTTCCTTCAAATGAATTAACAAATTAAAATACATGGTAAAATAAATAAAAACATCATTGCGGTTAATGTAGGCTTTTAAGGACTATTAAGGGCTTGGGTACCTGGGCAGTGCTCCATTTTGCTTGCTTGTTAATCAGTCTTCCATTTGCCAAATTAAAGGAGTTTGCTCTTGATTGATTGTGAACTATAGTGTAAGTACACAGCAGCTGTAGATGGATAGCTTCCCTTCAGCCTAAGTGGGCAGTTTATACCGTGAGTTATTCTGCACACGTGTAGTAAGCAGTCACACCGTCATATCATCATGCAAGGACCGGTTAATAAACGACTGTTTTAATCGAAACAGGCAAGGAAGCTGGAAGACCGGCGAGAAGGAGTGCGGGTCCTCCGAGGAGGAGAAAAAGCTGGAGGAGAAAGTGGAGGAAAACAGCCAAAAAGCTGAGGTGTAAAGAAACAGCGGCGATGCGAAAGGTAGAGCAAGACATTTCCACCATGCACATAAAGAGTTTGACGTAAAAAGTTGTGCAAAAAAATTAATAAGACATTTTTAATCTTTCCCTTCCAGTGAGAACGTGGAACTTTTGCACATTTCTCTTCACCTCTGTCTTTAGGGAGGGAGGGGGGGGAAAGAGTGTACACTGGGATGAAGACCGTTTGGATTTGGTTTCAGGGAGAATTTTACTAAAAACAAACAAAAAAAGCATATCCAAACATCTCCCCGAGCCCATCAACCCCTCACTCCTCCCATTCCTAAAAAAAAAAGAAAAAGAAAAAAAAAAGAATGGATACTGTATGTGATATACATAGCCTGTCTGCACTACTGATACATGTGTAAACCTGTCTACTATTAGGATTCATGTTTGTTAGAATGGAAATTGGAAAGCTGAGAAAATGCAAAATCACTACTAGACCAGTTGCCTTTGATGTAAGGATGTGTAGGCCTGCGTTAGTCTGTGTTCGACTTTTTCGGCCCTCGGGACATAGCAGGGACCAAGGGACATTACTGCCATAGTTTGGTTTTTTTCTGCTTTGTTTTTTGTTATTTCACCTCATCACACTCAAACAACCTCTGCCTTTGACATCAAGGTCATAAATCCATTCACTTCTATCATTATTTCAGTTTGTTCATTCAGGTAAAAAAAAAAAAAAAAGCTGAGAAATTGATAAAATCCTGAAAGGGCTAAGGGTATTAGCATTAGTTTTAGATGTTGTATATCAGCAAGGACATGATGTTTCACAAAGGTGTTTTTTAATTATTATTATTATTATTATTTGATTGTGTGTAACCAGGGGAGAAAATTAATTTTGCCTCGTCTTTTCGCCAACGTTCTTTACATTCAGCGTAGCCACCTAACGACACAAGCAGGTAGATTATTGGGAGAATGTATAGCACAGTTTAAACCTTCTTTTATTGGCTGTAGTTTGGCTGCACACGTGTTTTTTGTTTTTGCATGAAAGCAACATAAAGTTCACTTTCATGCTTTTCTTTAAAAAAAAATAGTAGTAAGGAAAAGGTTGTTTTTATGTAACTCCTCTATGAGTTTGTGCTCCATCAGTGTTGAGGTACGAGTGTTCATTCTGTAGCTGTGGCATACTTCTGTAATCAAAGACACCCAGTGAGCGGGATGTTTGTCTTAAAGTAGCCTTTACGATATGTTTGCCTTCTTTTAAAAATCTACCTGTAACAGCTTAAGTTTGTGATGTGCACTAGGGTTCATGTTTCATGTCGAGTTTGTGTAGAATACGATGGAATACCTGCAGCTGTACATGTCACGGTTTTGGTCCCTTAAGAGCATTTAATGAATTTGAAAAAGCAACGAGGCCAGGATGTAGTTGTGACGTACGTGATTTTACTTTTCCTTTTTGCTATTTATATTGTACAAGACTAAAATATCCTGGTAGGCGCATTCAATAATGATCACATAACTCATGTCTCGGATTTAAACCACTGATAAATTGCTTGCAGACTCTACAAAAAATGTCATTAAGTTCTGAGTCATCGGTAGTTTGCTCTGTGTCTGGTTGAATAATATATTCAGCATGTGAGAATCTCAGACCTCCAAGCTGCTGTTTGTTGCCTACCTTGTGTAAAACCATCTGATTGGAAGATTGACCAAAGAAAGTGAACATTGCCATGCAAGTATTGTAAATATCTGATGTTTGTTTTTGTACTTTTGTTTAAAATAAAGTGTACATTTGGAACAGTTATGTCCACTCAATGTTAATTATGTTGTTATCATTTTTCTCGTTTTTTCATCTGGTCATCTTTTGAAATAAAAATCAACACGGTTTGGGTCTTTCTTTTTCATTTCACTCGCACGCATACGCAGAAAACACTGACGGCACAGAGTTAATGTACAGTGACTGGTTGAGTGATAACAAATCTGTCAATACTGCAGAAAATATGCAGAAAACAAGGAAAGTGATGAGTTTTGAGGAACAGTTAATGAGACTCAGTCTTGAAATTTGAAAAATATTCCTGCATTAGACATACAAAATTACAAAACCTGACCTTTTGTTGTTATTACCAGTGGAAACTATTGTAAATATATTCAGTCCTTTCATCTGTCTTTTTAGAGGAAGGCAGGATTTAGTCCTGTTTCTATGAATTATTCAAAAAAAAAAAACAACAGTTAAAATATTTGGCCACAAAACTTAGCAGAATTTTGGATTTGATCCAAAACCCATCTGAGATTTTGCCACGGGCAGGATCTACACAGACATTATTACTACAGCATGTCTGCAGTATCAGGTTTCCATCTCCTTCCAGAAATTGACTTTGACATTTTGGAGTAAGTGTTATGTCAGGATGAATATGGATGAACAGGTACAGTGGCATGAAAAAGGTATTGAACCCCATCCCAATTTTTTTGTGTATGTGTGTCTGTGTGTGCATCTCTTACTAAACTGTCAGATCTTAGGAATGACTTGTCTTGCTGCATAATGCAGCTGAACCTGAGCTCCAGCTCAGACCGGTGACCTGATGTTCTCCTTCAGGATTTTCTGTCAGACGCTGGAATTAATGTTTCTCTCAATTGTGGCAAGCCCCCCGACCTTGAAGCTGCAAAGCTGTCCCACAGCATTACTCTGCCACCTCCATGCATGACTGAAAGTATAATGGCCGTTTTGTTGTATTCTCTATTTAGTTTGTCAGCTCTAATGATCCCCTGTCTTCCAGTCACTTAAGCATTCTCTCAAAAGGTCTTAGGTATATTAAAGTGTGCTGTAGCAAAATCCAAATGAAGCTTAATCTTCCTCTGGGTTGGCAGTGATTTACTTTGGCACACTCCCATGGAGGCCATGTTTGCCCAGTGTCTTTCAGACAGTAGAATATTGAACTTTATTGATGAGAGAAAGGCCTGAAGTTCCTCTGGTCTTCTGGGAATTCCTGTCACCCAGGTGCTGTTTGGCAAAACCTGAGAGGGCAGCCACTACTAGGAAGGCTCACTGCTGTTGCGAGGCTTCTGCATTTGAAGATGGGTCTCTAATCTGATTAGTCTCAGAGATGCAGAAACTTATTTATTAACCTCTCCTTTTTTGACATTATGATCTACTAGTTAGATCTTTTGGTAAACTTCATGCTACCGGAAAGTCCTAATTTGATTGGTAAATGCTATTTACCAGGTGTCAGTTTGTATAGCTGATACTATATTTTAGAGTTTTGGTAACCAAGAGGATATGTGCTTTTTTGTTTTAACATATTTTATTAGATAAGCTTTGTTGCTTCAGCAGTTATTGCTTGGGTTTCATAAACTGAAGTTTATTTTATTTTTTTTAATCAGACAGTTTAGGATGAGATGCATACAAATAAAGAATACATGGAGAGGGCTTAAATATTTCCTCGCTATTCAGTTTTGAGATCCCTTTTTTCTTCCATGTCAAAGTGAAATATTGCACTTTTCGCTTCACTGCATTTATTTCAAAGCTCCTAACATGTACCTCTGGCCTACACTTCAAATGCACAACCTATGAAGAGCACATGAAACAGGGTGTTGTGGAGTAAACTGCACAAGCCGATGTACAAGACTTCAACGGGGGGGGGGGACACACAGAGGCAAAGTAAAACACAAATCTGTAATCCAGACAGGCAGAGGTCATACAAGTGTGATCAGTCAGCAAGAGTAAACTAAACCAGGAGGGCACAGGCAAAAGACTAAGTCCATAAAACAGCCCAAAAGGTCACACACACACACACGGAAGTCAACAATTAAACACAAAGGATGCGAGAAAATTCCAGGAAGACTTGACTGAACAAGAAAATCTGGCAACTTGAACATGAGCAACTGCAAGTGTATACGCACACACTGAGTCTGACTAATACAACACAGATGAGGTTGACCAGAATGGACCATACAATTATTAAAGGGTTAATAATAATACACAAAGAACAATAATTAGGAAAAAAACAGGAAAGGATTTATCATAAACACGACAACATATAGCTTGATGGCATGTCAAACCTCTCACTCAGTGAACTGGACCGAAGCTTAACATAAATATCACTCTGAAGGGGAAGGGGAGGGGGGTAGCAGAAGATCTTTATTCTCTATAATATTCAGATCAGTATATTTATTCATGTGTGCTGTGCTTCTACTGATGTCTGTGTGGGTTTTATTATTGTGCTTTAGTTAAGTTGTATGTTTAGCTTCAATAAACAGAAGGGAATGAATCTGCAATTGGAGTGAGCCATCAAAGCCTGGGAGGACAGGGTCCAAGCCATGCAGGCAAAGACACATTTTATACGCCATTAACTGAAGAATGTTTACTTTAACTGATTTAAACATCAATGTGATTTTTTATACACTCTGAGGCAAGTTTATTTCTTAAATAATCACTGTCATTCACTGGTTCGTTCAATAAGACAGCAGCAGAAATCACGTGATTAGTCATTCTTCTCCTTTGCAGCACTATCTCCATCTTAACTTTGCTCGGAATAAAGGCAACATAACAACCAACATTAGCATTTGCTGCCACCATGTGGCCAAAGATTTAACAGCAATGGGTAGTGACGGCGTCAAAGGAAAGAAAAGTTTGACGATTTTTTGTTTTTGTTTCCGTGTTTCTAAAACTAATCAGAAGTTCTCCAAACGTACCACATGCAAGCTACACAAATGACTTATATGATGTTTTGAATTAACATTATTTAGTCCTAAAAATGACTTCACTTACATTGTGTTTGATGCTTCACTAACCACTGCAGTATACTAAGCAAACTACAGCAAGTAGGAACACTGTGGAATAGGAAAAAGAGTGGAAATTGTAAAAGACACATTTATAAGTTGATCCACTGGTGAATGAAGGACATCTGCACCTTTACAGGGAGAACATTAAAACAACAACAACAAAAAAAAAAAAAACTAATGAAAAACTGGTTTTATGTCTGTCTTTAGTGAATACAGTGTTGAGAGGGATTTCATGCAGATTTGTCATCTGGTGAGTTGTAACTGTATAAATAAAAGGAAGACCTGAAAAAAAAGGTTTTGTCTTTGTTTTTGAGTCACATTTGCTTGTTGAAGATCGACTACATCGATTTTCTTTCCACTTCATTGTATATTTTCATCCACTTCTGCTTAAAAATATAAATTGAACCAGATTAGTGAGGCAAGTTCTATATGTACTGATCCATTTTATTCTGCTTATCCACTTTAGGGTCACAACTGGGTCTAATTGTTTCAAATTAAAGCAACAAAAATATTGATAATAAAAAGTCTTAACAGAATTAATTTCCTTGAGCCATATTGAGAATAAATGATTGCACGTGTAAATGATAATTTGTTGGCTTCCACTGTGTTTTAACTAGCCATTTGTCACATGTGATTAAACAAAAGCCCAAAGGGCACAATCACAGTACTTACTAGTGTGAAAACGTGATTCAATAACTTGGATTCAGTTCCCAGAAGCGTTTTTCGAATGCACTGATCATAATTTCATCAATTTGAGGTCCGTTATGAAGGGGAAAAGCCTAAAATTTTGAGGAGATCTCTTCCAGCTTTTTATGAGTACAACTTCTGGGTGCACATACACATATTGAAATAACACAATCATTAGTGAAAATTTAAATGCAAAGCTGCAACAGTTCTTAACTAAGACCTTCAGCTGGTTTACTTTGCATCATTTGTTATGCCCTCTAAATGTTACCTGTCCTCTTTATTGATGAAACCCTTTCTCCTCATTTGAATTAATCAATTTAATCTGTGTTTTCCAAATCCTGTGGATGGCAGGTACAAAAGGTTAAAAACATGGGAAATTGTTTTCTATGTTGTTGTTGTTGTTCCTTTTCTGTGCTGTTTGAATGTAACGTTTGGTTTGACTGTATCATGCATGAATCTTGGGAGGGATGTAGAGATCTTTGGTTTTATTTTTATTAGTGTCTCTGTAGCGATTGTTGAGGTTGAGGTCACCTCAAGGCTCTAAATTGGCTGTAGGTGTGAATGTGAGAAAGGTGAGTGCTTAAAGTGACCAAACTAATATCGTGTGTTGAATCTGCAAATGTGATGCGTAGTATAAGGTGCTCTGAGAAGTCCACGAGACTAGGTAAGTGCTTTATGCCAGAGCCAGACTCCTGGTCATTCCATTTAAGCCCATAAATTAAATATAAACTTATAGCCACTTTATTAGGTACACAGTTGAATCACTGTTGGAGGCAGCAGTAACTCAAATAACCAATTGTTACAGCAAGAGTATGCAGAAGTGCATCTCTGAACACACAACGTACAAAAGATGGGCCACAGCAGCAAAACACCACACCAGGTGCGACTCAGCTAAGAAGTGGAAACTGTGGCTGCAGGCTCACCAAAACTGGACAATAGAAGATTGGAAAAAGAGACTTGATTTCTACTGTGAGATTCAGGCGGTAGAGTCAGAAAATGGTGTAAACAACATAAAATTTTTGATCTCAAAGGAATTTTTCCACTACCTTGTTGAATTGGTGCTAAGAAAAATCAAGGCAGCTCTGATGGTCAGAGGCATCCAACACAGTAGTAGCAAGGTGTACCTAATAAAGAGTAGGTCAAACAAAACAACTTTGGACATGGCTTTTCTTTAATGCATTACTAATGTCCTGGCTCAGAGGTGGTTCTGTTTTACTTGGTGACTGCTACTGCTAGTCTGACCAAGAAGGTAAAATGAGATCATTTCATATCTCAGTATTGAGGAAAAGAAGTCAGGAATGATAACAAAAAAGAGAAAAATTACAAGAAAAAGCTAAAAAAAAGAAAAAAAAAAAAAAAAAAAAAACTTCTATAGGAGTGGGTAATAGAATATGTCAGAACAGGTTGTGTTACACTTGTATTCGTATACCGGTAAATTTTCATCCTTAATCTCCACCCAGATATGTTTAACAGAATTTGTTTCTAAGTATTCAGGCATAGGTTTCACCACATCAACTAACTAAGCTCATTGTTTCTCAAATGAACATATCATAAAAATGACTTTGTTTTTTTAGCCCTATCCACAAGATGCAAGAATGGACACATTATTCATCTAAATTGCTCATAGCTCTTGGAAGCCATCAAGTGACACTATCTATCTTGATGCAGCGTCACGGTGCCCCTACAGAAACCTTGAGTATAAAAAAGACACACACAAAAGGTTATCTATGAGCCAATAAATGATAACATGGTGGTGTGGTAACTGCCAGTTAATACAGAAATTAAATCTTTAATGCAGGGATTTCCTAGAGGCTAAAACATTCTTATATCCAGCAGATTTCATCTCTTTTGTATGGTTTACCTTCTTTTTCTGGTTAGATAAGATAAGATAAGATAAGATAAGATAAGATAAGATAAGATAAGATAAGATAAGATAAGATAAGATAAGATAAGATA